CTTTGAAATGAACAAAAAACATTTCTAATAGCTGAGGTGTACATGGGATCAAGGTCGATAGGTGGTAAAGTGATTTTAAGCCGTTTTCGTTTATATATTCTTAAAACTTACTGGTCGAAGGTAAAGTCAGATCTTGGCAGGTGCAGTCGGTGGATCACACCGAAAAAGGAAATCAAGGCTGAAACGTTAAGGAAGCTTCAGGTAATGTAGAGCGTGAACATTTGGGTTATCTGCAGAGAAACATTTTAAAACATTTGTAGAGAACATTTTAAAAATATGAAAGTTAAGAAAAGAAGAGCTTACAGAAACAAATTCTTTCTTACAAACTTTTTAGAACTCAAGTTTGCACCCCGGCGTCAGCGGGCCGTGTTTGTCTGTAACGATTAACATTTCTCTGTTAATTAAAGTGGTGTTTATTTTTATTTTTATTTTTATTTTTTTAGTTGTGGCATGAACATTTTTATACAGAGCGCACATCCAGAGAGATTTCGGGCCCTGATTGTCACGTACGAGTGTAAAAACGTGGCTCTGTCCAGATCAGGAGCGAAGCTGAAATGCAGGTTGGACAACCTCGGTCTGTTAAACAAACTCAGGCTGTTTACAGCGCTGCTGTTCCAGTTTCACTGAATATGCGCATATTTCTTTTTGCATACTTTTGGATCAAGCTGGAATATAATCATCCAAACAACCGAGATAACTTTGTATCGCTCGCTTAAAAAACAAAACAAAGAAAAATAATTAATTGCTTCGTGTTTCTTGATTATGGATTTGTAAAAACTGATGTCAACAGTAGTTCTCTACAGGAGTTTAAATGTGTGAAAACACATATGAGTTCATTTGCCGGAAAAGAAAAGTAAATAAGAGAGAGACAAATAAGCTACTTGGCTCAAATAGGACAATATATTCATTGCACTTATTCAATAAAATTCAATGATGAAATAATAAAACTATTAATGAAAAATGAAAATATAGTTTAAGCTGAAATGTCCGAGTGAAACACATCTTGTTCATTGGTTTATTTTATGTTAAATTCTTTCTTGCCTTTTTCTTTTAACGTCACTTAATCAGGCTCTGATGCGTTCTGACACTTTTGTGTTCTTTTTACTTCCTGTATAAACACCAGCTGGTGTGTGGGGAAAACGTGTGCTCATATTTTTTGTCTGGTCACAAGTGTTGGTGACAGAGTGGAGGTTGCTTCAGTGTACTGCTGTGTAGCCTTTGTAAGTAACTTCTCTCTCACTGAACATTTTTTTCCAGCCAGGTACTTTCATGTGATGCAGCCTCCATGCTGTGCAGAGCCCTACAGATGTTATATGATATTATAATATTTGTATACATTTGTTTAATTAACAAACTCGAATGAACTCTGCTGGAGTAAAAGATGATTATTTAAGACCTTGTATGTGAGGAGCAGGATTTTGAATTCAATTTTGGATTTTTTTTATTTATTCAATTCTGTGTTATTTATTTGCAATTCCAAATCTCAACCACACAGGTCCACTACAAACCATCTCAAATCAGCATTTTCAATCCGGGATTGCATCTTGTCTACATTAGACAAGATGCCCCTCCCTGAGCCTGGTTCTGCCCGAGGTTTCTTCCTGTTAAAAGGGAGTTTTTCGTCCCCACTGTCACCAAAGTGCTTGCTCATAGGGGGGTCTTATGATTGTTGAGTTTTTCCTCTGTATGTATTATTGTAGGGTCTACTTTACAATATAAAGTGCGTTGAGGCGACTGTTGTTGTGATTTAGCACTCTATAAATAAAATTGAATTGAATGTGTAGGCGTAAATAATGATTTGTATTTATTCTGTATACACACCAGCTACTGAATGATTCTTACAGAATAAAACAAAGTCTACAATTGGTTTTCCAGGTTCAAGAAAGTGACGGATACCATCAGAGCCAAAAAGAAGACTGAAGCAGCTTCTTTAAACAAGAGACATTTAAAGAAGAAAAGATGGAGTGTTTATTTAAGAACAGACACTTAAAGGAGAAAAAGAGAGAAATCACTAAAGTTAGAGATGATCCAATAAGTGAAGGAAAAACAGAAGAAGACACAAATTATGCATTTAAGTCACATGATGAAGAAGGTGAGGAGGATGTAAGAGCAGGTTGGTGCTTCTTTCTCAGAAGGCCCTCCTGTAGGACATACTGCATCAGTGATGAAAACATCAGAACAGAGCTGAACACAGACGACGACAATGATGATGATGGTGTCTGCTACAGGAGTATTTCACTACCTAAAGAAAAAACTATTTCAGCTGATAAACGTGGATTCAAGAGTTTACGTTTTAAGTGGAAGAAGTCAGACAGAAAGGAGAACCGTAAACCTTTAAGCCACAATCCTTCCCCATCACGGGAGCCGGCAATTGTTTGTAAGGAGCTCAACGTGGAAGACAGTGATTTTAGACAGTTTAATTTGTCTGGCTCTTTTACTGTTGTTTTTCATGAGATGGAAGATTTGCAAGAGGAACGAAGAAGAAAAGAAGAAAGTGTACTTTATTGGTCCCCGTGGGGAAAATCGCTCGAACAAAACACATCTCACCAGTATACTGAAGGTAAATGTGGTGAAATTAAGTTTGGCTCCACAGACCTGATGGGCAAGACTTCATCACCCTGTAAATCCACTGGGTTGCCTAAATATATAAGTGAAGGAACAATTGAAGAAGATGGTTGCAGA